CCAACCATTCTGTGATTCTATGCAGCTGTTAGCAGTTCTGCCAAAGAAGGGCGCTAAGGAAGTGGGGGGTGTAAATCAGTGTCTTCAGTGTCACATAGCCTTGGAGAAGGCAGAGACACACAGGACTCGGTAAAAAGAAATAACCTTCACAGCATGTCAGGGGATCAGCCTGTTTCTCACAGGGTTGTTCAGTGGGAAACAGCTGTACAAGCAAGCATAGAACACTATTTTGCTCTTCGATGTGAGCTTGTGAGTACAGTTCTTCACGCATGTTTCTAAATTTTGACAGGTGGTTATACTTCATCACATGTTGTCTAAAGCAACTGTAAAGGCCAGACCCTCTGTCCTGTGGTGTTACAAAAAGGAGCTGGGCTTCAGCAGGTAAGATACCTTGTGTCTCGTGCTGCAGTCACTGCTCCGTGTGAAGGAAAAGCTCTGTGACTGGTCTGCTGAGCGTAGGTTGCCTGATTCGGTTGTAGGGAGAAACTAGATTAATTCTTGGAGGAGCTATAGGAAGTTTGGTCTTCCAGAACTAAAATTTGGCTTCCGTAATACAGTTGACACCAGCACTAGTTTCTTTCTGTAACCTAATGCTAATTCTGTTGTCCTGGGCCAGTCTCTCCCTTGCCTTTTTATTTAAAAAGGCCAAAACTTTAATTCCTCAGGTTTTTTGCCTCAGTAATATTTGGGACTGCCTGCAAACTAAGGATTAGAATTTCTACATTTCGAAAAAGGGTTCAAAATTTTAATACTTAGATTTGTGGGTGTACTTACAGTCTGCACCCAGGTCTGGAAGGAGGCGTTACCCGAAAGGGCATGGTTCCTACCACGCTGTTTTTTCAGAAACAGCTGGCTCTGTGTGATACCCATCAACTCAGACTGAGGGCACATGGGAACGTATCATGAAAGCAGCGATTATGCTCTGAGGTTTTTTACCTTGGAGGCTGAGCTCTGACTTCCAATTAGGCTTGAAGGTAGGCCTGAAAGCACGTTTCTGAAACCCTTTTCCCAAGAAAGCGTCCGTTTATTTTGTTTTCCAGCCATCGGAAGAAGAGGATGAGACAACTACAGAAGAAGATTAAAAGTGGAACTTTAAACATAAAGGATGATGATCCTTTTGAGTTGTTTATAGCAGCCACAAACATTCGCTACTGCTACTACAATGAAACTCATAAGATTCTTGGTAACACTTTTGGCATGTGTGTACTTCAGGTAAGGGGTTAAACTTCTGACGTAAAAGGGTTGTTGCACTAGTATTGATTGCTTTCAGTTTAAATGCTGCAGGAATAGTATTGGTTGTTTCTGTGATTTCAATTGCGATGGCCTTGTGTATCCTTTACAGGTGTTGTGAGGGTGATGGCATCTTGCTGGTAGAATGTTCACGGGGCATTGGTTAATGCAAATGTTAAGTGTGAATTAAACTGAGAAATAATGGGTTTAGGCTTTCTGTTCCTTTTAGTAGGTGCTAGTGGCACTGATGAACTCCCGGCAACTTAAAAGTTTTATTTATTTTCTAGGATTTTGAAGCCTTAACTCCAAACCTGCTAGCTAGAACTGTTGAAACAGTAGAAGGTGGAGGAATTGTGGTGATTCTCCTGAGAACAATGAACTCACTGAAGCAGCTCTACACGATGACCATGGTACGTTCAACGTGATGTGTCTGCTTACATAAGCAGGTACATCATGGTGATACTAAGTGGTTAGTTCTAGCTTTTACTATGGGCTGTGAACTTCATTCCGTTATCTTTCCTGCTCCTTCATTTGTCTGTGATTAAATGTGTCTTATGCTTGGGCAGTTCTGCCAACCTGCGTGTCATGAAACACCCCTAGGTTACAAGGAAGACACGCGCCATTCACAAATGTAACTGTTCTTTTGTTTCGCAGTGACTTTGGAAAGTGTTTATGTCATCTGCCCATGTAGCAGAAAATTTAAGTAAAAAATAGACCCTTTGAGTGTTTTATGACCTGTTACTAGTTCAGCTCAGCTTTGCAACTACTCTATACTTCTATATATGACCTATTCATGTTGAGTATACGTACCCCTAGAGCAGGAACTGTTTTCTTCAGTAATAATGCTGGGAGGCAAATTAAAGTGGTGGACTGTTTTTTCTTATCATCCCTGAGGTGTCTGAAGTGTTCTGTACCTGGCAGAATTGATCTTTAGGTCAGGCAAGATTAAGTAAGACCATTGTGAAAACTATTGGTGAGAAAAGTACATTTTTAACAAGTATTTGGAAAATGCGGATGTTTCACAACAAACAGAAAATCAGAATCCTGTCTGGCGTGTGGTGTGGATGGAAAGGGAGACTAAGCCACAAGAGTGGAAAAGAAGTTGTATTGTTCCATTCTTGTAAATGTCACTTACTGCTGTTCATTCTCTGGCTTGACATTTATGGTTTTTTGCTTCAGGACGTACACTCTCGGTACAGAACAGAGGCACACCAGGATGTGGTAGGACGGTTCAATGAGAGGTAAGGTATTAAGAGTGTCAAAGATCTGGGCTGTATACCTAAGAAAAGCATCAGGAGCAGCATTGTGTTTTCATATTGGGAAAGCATCCTGTAGGTTTGCGTTGGAGTAGGACTTCTTGGCTGCTCCAGTGAACTGTTCCGGAAATGAAACCAGTCTGTTGTTGGAGGAGTTGCATACAAAATTGTGACCTATGTTACAAAGAATAAATGCAAATAGGCTCAAATTTGTAAACTGTTCTTTGGGACTGACTGCAGACTAAGCATTTGAATTTTCTTTCTTGAAACACTCTGTAGAATCATAGACTCCAGGTGCACAGAACTTCAGGTACTGCACTACTGCAAAACATGAAACTGCTTAGTGTGGAGTCTTCTCTGTGGTTTTAGAAGTGCCTTGTAAATGTGGTTTCTCTGCTTTTATTGTACAGAATAAGCAGCTCTTACTGATTAAGCAAGCCCTAGGGAAATGGCAGAAGTTGTTCTATAGCGTGCAGGTGGTTATGTGATGCCAGAAAGCATAAGGATGAATAAGCCAGCACTGACTGCAGTCTGGGGGTGTCAGCGCTTGTCGCAATTGGTGGGGAATCACATCTTGCACTTTTATGCAGTTACCTTCTACTTAAATGCTCTCTTGGTAGAACGTCTTTAGTTAGCTTTCTTCTTTGGAGGCATTCTGGTAAGTGTATACCTGAAACCTGTTTGGTGTAGACGATCCCGATTTTACTCTTAGAGGCGTGCTGCCAGTTGTGTGAGCTTGTAGCTCAGCTGTAAGTAGCTGTAAATACTATGTCTGAGTTTAGAAAAGAGTTTAAATAAACTACCAAAATGCAATTGTGTTGCTACTGTTTTTACTGAGTTGCCTTTGCTTGACTGCTCAGGTTCATTCTGTCTCTGGCCTCATGCAAGAATTGCATCGTGATTGATGATCAGCTGAATATCTTGCCCATCTCCAGTCATGTTGCAAACATCACACCTGTTCCACCACAGTCGCAGGTCAGTAAGCGATGTCAGCCACTTCTCCTTGGGAGAAATTCGTCTGAGGTCACCGTGGTATGTTTTCACCCTGATTTGTATGAAATTATACTTCCTTCTTGCAGACAGGAAGTAAAATGTTCTGCAGAAATTATACCTGGTATGGCTGAAGCATGGGTGAAGCGTGGGTGAAGCATGGGAAGCTCTCTTTTCTGCCCTCCTTGTTTTTATTCTGTCACAGTTTGGTTTTTTTGTGGGGGCACGTGGCATGTTGGTGCTTGTCTGTATTTATTCATTTTGCTGTATTGCTGTTTAGCTTAGTGAGGTGGGTCTTAATTGCTATGGCTGCTGTTTCAGAAGTGCATAGAGAGATTTCAAGTCAGTTTAGAGTTGGGATGAGACAAATAAAAAGACCTTTTGATAGTTGGAGGGTGGGAAAACACGAGTATATTGCAAGCTCAGGAGACACCTGATAGGTAGAAGCTGTGGTACTTGTGACGTGTAACTCAGAATTTGAAAGATCTTGGTAAACATTCACTGGCTAGAAGTCAGACATATAGCGTGCACTGTTCGAAATGTGTCCTTTTATCACTTTCAGTTGTAGACTAAACTAAAATGGAACCAGTTTTAAACAGAAATCTTTTAAACTTTTGAACTGTTTTGTGTGGCCTAAGAGATACCAACATAGGTTCTGTCAGAGATGGTAAAGACATTTTAACAGAACACTGATTTTTTAAAAATACAAAACAGCCTCTCCTTAGCATTATAACAGTATTGACAGCAGCACAAGTGCTTATCTGTTGGACAGCTTGACTGATGCCTTTGGAATTTTAAGTGACAATTAGGAAAATCAGAATTCTTTCCTGTTTAAAATTGACAGCTTTGCTGTCAAAGTTTATTGTTTGGCTTTGAAAATCTTAATATTGGTCTGAAAGCTCAACTATTGCTGCTGTAGTAGTTTTTTCCCCTACACAGCAATATGTACACCTTGCATTACAGTCATAACAAAGACCATAGAATTTTGGAATAGCCTGAAGAGTGAAAAATGTGGTTTATTCTTCAGAAAATCTGTTTGCGGTCTCTTCTTGCTACCAATGCCATTCTCTAGTTATTATGTATTGAAAAATTCTTTCCTTTCTAACTCCAGTCTTGGGGAAGCCAAGATACCACCTCTTGTGTTACCATTCTCCTGAATATGGATTAAAATTGAAGTGTTAAATGTCTGTCCATTTAAATTTTTCTGTTTCTAGGGAGTATACTCATTGTGTGGTAACATTTCCTTTCAGATGTCTTCCTTGGCCTGATAAAAGACATCAGAAGAGATCACAAAGGTATAGTTATGCTGAAGTGTTCTGTACTAATCCTGTTATGGTACATCCTGTGCTTATAGGAAGATAGCCTCCGCCCGCAGGACTTGGAGCTGAAAGAACTGAAGGACAGCTTGCAGGATACACAGCCTGTAGGAGTTCTGGTGGATGGCTGTAAAACTCTGGATCAGGTTGGTGTAGTGTTTAAATCTGAGATACTGTGTGCTTGACAGGCCATCTTAGGTACTGATGTTTGTGTCTCATCTTTCCTGTGATCAAATCTGAGTGTGAACATTGATGAAGCTGAGAATAACTGGAAAGATTAGAATGAAGACAGGAAGCTGATCTGGAGAAGCCCACATTTAAAAAGATGATGAGCCTAAGGGTTTGAAATAAGCAGGAAACTTAACCTTGAAGGTTCTGTTCAGTTTAGTTCTGAATAGAAGTTGAAAATCCATATCATGTTTAATACTGCCTCCCTGTCATGTCACCTTATCTGGCAATTAAGTACCACCCAGTCGCTTGTGCACCTCCCCCCCTCCCCAGTACAGGAAGGGAGTTGGAGGAAAAGACAAGGAAAGCTCGTAAAGTTGAGATAAGAACTGTTTAATAATAGAAATGAAAATTATAGTGATACTAACATTACTACTACTAATAAGTAATTAAAACAATAGACAATAGGACTGATGATACAGTAGCTCACTACGCACCAACCGACACACAGAGCAGCGAGAAATCAGAAAGCAGGGAGAAAACCCACCCACCCTCCAACCCACTAACAAAAGACCCGCCCCGTTGCTGGCAACCGTGCCAAGAACTAACAAAAGAGCGAACGACCTAGCTATGTCAAACTAGGCCAAAGCCTAAACGATCCCCCGCCCCAGGCCACTTCCCACCTCTGAAATGCCTGGGTGCACGTGCACACCCAGCCTGACTACTCAGCTTGATGTACGATGGAGTGAGACAACTCTCTTGGCTGCTCTGGGCCACTCAACTCTGTGCAGGAGAGGAACTTGTTCCTGCCTGAAACCAGCATATTCTCCACCCCTTGGTTCATACCATTTACATCATGCTCAGGTCCCACACTATTCCATAAATTCGCATGAACCAGCTTCCCCTTTCCCATCCCACACAGATATCATGCCCTTAGTCTGTGGACCGTCTTGGCAAAATGTCCATTAGTCCATGACTTCAGGTGGCATCAAGTGTGGGGTCACTCAAGACAGGAAAAGGGGTGTTGTGCGGGATCCTTGGGTGCTGATACCAGCTCAGGTCAGGTCACTGCTGCACTTCTGGCAGGGCTGGATCTCTGTAGGTTCAGGTAATCTCTGCCAGAGTGATTCCTACAACAGAACTCAGAACAAGGGTTAGTTGCAGCAATTAATGTCCATCATGCAATTTAATTCATGGGCTATTTTTCCCTGGATCAAATCCCCCTGAGGCACACAGCGGACTTCCTCAGGCCCAGGTCCTTGAGCAAAAGCAGCCCCACGGATGGGTTTGCCTTTGCCTGACGCAGGAGTAACCCAAATAGTTTTTCCCAACATTTTTAACATGCACTACAAGGACTTTATCTCCTACAGTGCACAGAAGTTTTGATTGGGCAGGTCAGTACCATTGGCAGATCCTCTGGTGTTGACTAACCAGGTGGCTTTTGCTAAATGTGTGTCCTAATGTTTGAGAAAGTCCCAGCCCCCATTGCTCTCAGGGTGGTCTTTAACAGCCCGTTGCACAGCTTGACAATCCCCAGGACTGGTGCATGGGAGGGGATGTGGTACACCCACTCAGTGCCGTGTTCTTCAGCCCAAGTGACTATGAAGCTGTTTCGGAAGTGAGTTCCATTATCTGATTCAGTTCTTTTCAGGGAAGTCCAGTGTCATCACAGGACTTGCCTTTCAA